TATATAGACATAAATAAAATTAATCAATTAATAAATAAAAGATGACAATGATAGATAGGTAGGTAGATAGATAGATAGATAGATAGATGTTTTATTCATCTTTAATATATCAGTAAACTTAGCAGTGCAGTTGTTGACAGCCGTCTCAGGCAGTGTGATTTGTGGTGTGTCTTTGAACATCTGTGTAGGTCTAGAAAGTAGGGGCATGCCCACAGCCAGGTTACAGCTCAGAGTCCATTAGCAAGTCCACATTCGTTGGTGTCACTGACTCCAATTAAACAACCCTGGTGCATGAAATTAACAAGCTTATAAATAGATTCCAGCAGCTCAGACGGACAAGAGCCTGTCACTCTCCCAGGGACCCTTGGGCATCATTCCAGTGACAGCCTTGCCAGGTGCAGTGTGCTGACTCAGGAAAGGAGCCCAGCGCCTGCACAGATGTGTGGCCTCCTGCCTCACACTCTGGAACTCAGCTCTAATGTCAGGCCAGCCCAGCCACATGTACCTCTGAGGAAACTCTGATCCTCACAGAAGCCTGTGGGATTGTAGCTTTTGCTTATTTCTTCACAGTCTTCTCATCTTCAGGAAGTTGACCCATTCATCCCTAGACCATCACAAGACAGCTGTCTGAGTGCTAAGTGCTGCCATTTTCTCTTAAGTCCTGAAAAGAAGGGGCATGTGTGGCAGAGGGGTCCCAAGAGCAGCTCTCGGTCTCCCTTAGGAGACCCTACCCAGCATTAAACTCAGCTTCACCTGGCTCCCAGGGTGTACCCGTGTCAGGTGTGGCACTCAACTCTCACTAGCTCTTGACACAGGCACAGTCCAGGCAAGCCACCACCCTGCAGTAGGCACAGGTAGTTACCCCGTGGGTCTGTACCCTACCCCTCTCTTCGGAAGTGCTCAAGCGCTCTCTTATTGTTTGCCTCTGGTTTCACAAAACAACTGCATCAGCAACGAAGAACACGGGGGCATCATTTTGTAAGTGCAGGGAAGACAGCCTCTGTGCTCAGTGAGCTTGTGAAAGAGGCCAGAGGCACCGACCTTGGCCTTCTGTCTCAACCCAGTGTCTACCCTCAGCCCTCCACCCTTCATCCAGGCACAGAAGATGACTAGCCCCACATATGCTTTCTCCAGTCCCTTGAGCTGCAGTTAACAGCTGGTGTTGTGCTGTCACTGATATCTAAGGCTGTCATGCCTTCTTGGTGAACTGGCCCTGTCCTCATTCTGCCCGGCTGCACACCTCTCTGTTAACACCCCTTGCCCTGCTGTGATGCTGCCCACTAATCCAGCCAGTGCAGCTTCCTCTGTTAGTGTTTCTAAGCCATATTTTTCCCCATCCTTCTACCCTCTCCGCACAACTCATATTTAAAGCACGTTTTTTTTTCCCTCGATAACACATTGTTAGATCTTGCTTTTTCTTTTTAATTTGTCAACCTCTGCCTTTTTAAACGGGTTGTTTAGATAAAGGATCTGCAAACTATGGCCCCAGAGCCAAATTCAGCTCACTGCCCAGTTCAGTAAATAAAATTTTATTGGAAAACATTGTGAGCATTTGTTATGTGTTGTCTAAGGCTGGCTTTGCAGAGCCCAAGTGGTTATTGCAGACTGTAGCCTGCAAAGCCTGAAGCATTTACTGCCTGCTCCTCCTAGGAAATATTTGCTGACTGCTGGTGCAGTTCCCTTGGTGGTCTGCCATAGACAGAGCAGCTGCTCTTCCCACTGCTTCCCAGCTGCCCCTCGCTTTAGCTTCCCCATCCTATCTGATCGCTGAAGCTGTCCATCGTTCATTCATTCTGCACCAGGCTTTCAGCCAGCTTCTCCTTTGCTTAGCCGTAGTCACTCTATTTACAGCGAACATCTTTAATTTGTCACGGTTCACCTGTGAGTGAAACAGCACCTTACACGGAGCATAAAACCCTCTTAGAGCATGTGGTCCCTGGCTTTCTCACGCTCTGTCCTGTACTTCCTTCCTATGTGTGCTCAGATCCCATAACATCCTTGTCACTGTTTTCAGAGAAGAAAAATCAACTATCTTTAGAGGGAGTGTGAAGCTGTGTGCTTTTACTTCTCGGTTCTTTTTGTTGGAGTGTGCATGTGTACGTGTGTGTGTGTGTACAAGTGTGAGTGTACATGTGCATACATAAATATTGTGTGTTGTGTGTGAGAGAGAGACACACACAAAGAGAAACAGAGAGAGAGAGAGAGAGAGAGAGAGAGAGAGAGAGAGAGAGAGAGA